AAAGATATTGGTAAGGTATTATAAAACTGACTTCGTTGTATTTTTTAACATATATATATATATATATATATATATATATATATATATATATATATATATATATATATATATATATATATATAAGATTTTAGCAAATGTTGCCAATACTTTTAGCGAGAGTCTAAAAATTTGGCACTGATTTTTTTTTTCATATTGTGTGTTTCTACTTTTTGAAATGCAGTCCAATTAACAAATACTTTTTTTAATTATAGCTTGCATCTTTAGAGAATAAATCAAATGGCGTGCGAGAAGTCAGTACGTATATTTATTGTATTAAAATTTAAATAACTCTAAGGAATATGCATTAATTTAAAGTCAATTATCTGCTTCGGTGTGCTGGTTATTGCCCTATGTCAATCAACCATCTCCCCCCCCCCTCTCCCAAACCACCTCGCCGGTTTTTTTTTATACTAGACACCAAATTATTACACACATATATTATCCCACCCTCGTAGGCCTATATGGTTATGGATAGTTAGGGATATGGATAGCGGTTGTGATTGATTTAGGCTTAGAGTTAGAGTTAGGGTCAAGGTCATGGTCAGCGTCAGTCCAGGGTCAGTCCAAGGTCAGGGTTAAGGTCAGGGTCAGGCTTAGGGTTATATTTAACGTTTATAGTTTTTGTTGGCAATATTCCAAAACTATCCTCGGTTTGTCATTTTTTTAAATTAATGCTTGATAACTCCCCCACTGCCCTCTTGCTGGCCTACACTTTGTACATCGTGTTGTCTAAGAAGAATTCGTGATAAGAAAATAAAAGATCCAGTACTAAAACGTGTCTTACTGACTTAAATTAGTACTGCAATGATCTTACATACGGGATAGTATTGGTAGACGTCATTGTTTCCAGTAATTTATTAAAAGTTACCAATAACATCAAAATAACTATTACTGCAAGTTATTTTTTAAGTATGGTTCAGACAATTATTTATTTTCAGATAAATACAATATATAGCCTACAATACAATATATTAACAAATATTCGAACTTGTAGAACATCTATTTTTATAAATGTGGCCATTTGACCCATTTAGTTAAAATATTTTGGATAAGCTTTTTTCGGTACCGCCAGACACCTAGGTGGGGTGATCTAAGCGTTTGATTGGTATATGTTGTTAGTGCAGCTAAGGTATAGTTTTCAAAGGGAAACTGGGTCGTCTAGAATACTACATCATCTAATCACAGCTTGAATATTTATAATATCATTCAAACATTATGCATTCCGTTTTATAATGCAGTAATCAATTATACATAATTTTAACAGGGAATCGAGTATGCAAGCCTTACTTCTGTCAAATCCACCTAAACAACAACACACCAGTCACCACTGGAGAAATTATTTCTACGTTCTATGGCGTTAAGGAACATAACGGCAGCCATTTCAATAGATCAACAGGAAAACTTGTAGCACCAGATGACGGTTTTTATTTAGTTATTGTAACGTTAAATGAGAAAGAAGATAAACGGATTGCAGTGAGCGTCTTCAGTGGAGAAATATTACAAAAAGATTTTTTTGTAAAATCAGCTTTTACTTCGGCTTCTGGATCAACCATTGTTGCAATGAAGAAAGGGGAAGAGCTATATTTTAAAGTGACTGGAGCAGATGATGAAGCCATGCTACACGCAGCCAGTGGCTTCTCTATTGTCAGACTGTAAAACTGAGTTCTTATCTTGTATAAACACACTAATAATCTTGAGTCTACTGACTACATTGTTTTGATGTTTTTGTTTATAATTATAACGCTCGGCGTAGTTTATTATCGTATTATTTACATCTAGACCGGTATTATTAAACCTTAAAAAATATTTTGTTCTGATACTAATGCTATTGTATCGCCATATTTTTTACGACCTCCACCCCTAACTGTGCACCGCCTCTTCCCCTCCCTCCCCGGTAAGCTGGAGTTCCAAAATCATTAGACTGTTTAGTCGGGCTAGATCGACCATGTGACTCATCCTATGTCTTAAAAGTTTATCGGACAGACCCATCGCTGGTCCCTTTTATCCTGACCACTGCCCTTGCTTAGCGCACCTGCACGCTAACCCACACACTGGGTATAGGTGTGTCCAAGATAGTTTCTATCAGGTGTAGTTATCGCTTTTTAACAGATGGTAGGCCTATTTGATTATTTTAAGAAACTAGAAATCTATATCAACCTGATAATTCCGTTTTTTGTAAGAATCTGATATATTTTTACCAATATTCACGTCAGATGAATAACAACAATTTTTTATATTTTTGTCTCAACTTCAGTTGTTTACTAATATGTGATTATCTCTTATTATTGGTAGTGTAATTGTCCATTATCTAATATTATTGAAGTTTAGATGCCATTATATCTCAAGGATTAAAAAGCTTTGAAAAAAAACAACGAAGGGCTACTTTTTTCATATAGTTTCTTGTAACAAAAGTAAGTAGATATTAAAGTTCCATAAGGCAAAAAAGTAGATTTCACTTCTTTTTGTGGGGTCGGCGTGGTCGAGTCGGTAAAGCTCATGGTTGCTAAACCGAAAAGTCTCGAGTTCGAACCCTCGGGCAGATGAGGCTCTTTAGCTGGGGACAGCCACTCTTCTAGGAGAGACAACTCCAAAATTAAACAACTGCTGCCTTGTAGTTTGTTCTTGGTCGGACAAAGGCTATGGAAGCAAATCCAAAAAAAGAAAAGCAGGCTGAAATCGGAGTCAATGGCCTCAATGGCGCATAACCAGTTGACACGTAACGCTTAATTGTGTTGGAGGCGTGGTCGAGTCGGCAAAAAGCTCATGGTTGATAAATTCGAACAAAGTTTCGAGTTTAAACCCACTGGCAGATAAATCTCGATCTCCTTTAACACTAATAATTAAGAACGAAGAAGAAGAAGAAGACTTCTTTTTGTGATCTCGGTTAGTGTGAGTGTTTAGTGTGGTCAACACATTACCAGCCTCCTTTACTTTCTTAACGTGTGTCAGTTGCCCATCACTAATAGTCTCAGCTCTCTACCGGCTAGGCCACGATGTCCCATTATATAATCAAAACCGAGAATAAAATTCTTCTTATGCCTTTTCTAACAATTGTAAACGAAATAGAAACGAAATAGAAAGTTAGATTCGTAACACGTAAATAGGGGTTACATTCAACTTCTTATCAAGTTTTAAAAAGGCATATTTCTGTCAGATTTTGTTTCGGAAATAAAGACGTACACGTATATTTAAATATAGGGCAATATACATTTTCTATATTCTAAACCTGTGTATAATTTTTATCGACATGAGTTAAAAAATCATGTATAATGTGCGTTTGCAAAACCATCATATCACATGTTAGTGAAATTTAGACGTCGAAAACGTTTCTAACATATATACACATAGACTAATCTCGCATTTAGATCGGTTTTATTTGTACTAAAACAGTAAGTCAATAAAATAACATTTATGGAAAAAAAAATTGTTATACACTATAGATGTTGTAACTTAGTTTAAAAATTGTAAAACAATATAACACAACAGATACACGTCTGGAAGAGTAGCGCTTTCTTGTTTTTTCTGGATTTTCATCCAATCCTTTTTCAAACCAAGAACAAACTACAAGACAGCAGTTGTTTAATTTGGGAGTTATCGTTCCTAGAATGGCTACTGTCTCTAACGAGCCTAATTAGATCAGGTTTCTAAGCTCGGGTATTTAAGCGTTAGTAATTATATGTTTTACGACCAGGCTGTCTTTTAGTTCTTGGGTTGAAACAAGGTATTTTTTGTTATAAAAACTGATGTCTCTATGTACTAAGATGTTTGCAGGATATATTTTTAAGAGCAGTTACGTGTTATGGAACCTTTCATTCGAGTTATGCCGATTTGTATTCGCGACATGTTTTGTCTTAAATGTTCCTTAATCCAAGCTAACAAAACAATCTTATTTGCTACAAGACAGAAAGAATGTGATCAGAAGCCCATGTAGCTTCTTCGTCAGGCTGTAGAAAAATGTTTCTCTTGGATACAAGATTAAAAATTATAAGAAGTCTCTTATATGGCCTTGTAAGTAACTTGAAACAACTATCACTGCAAGGTTGGATGCAGCGTCACACATATCAACACGTTTTTTATTTCATTAAAATTATATTAATTTTAGTTAAGCATTAACTACGGTATTAACTAGTTAAAACAAGTTCTAAGCTAAATACATAACTTGCTACGCTGTGCTGTTTGGATTGCATAGGCTAGTGACCTACTTAGTTTTTTACAGGCAACGTTTCAGGCGTTCTTTTTCGACATGTCTTAATAACAAAGAATACATTTCATACAGACCAACTTAAGCTGTAATACCATACATTTAAAAAATCGATAACTTTTAATATCGACAAGGGTCTTTGAATACGTGCCAATAGAGCGTTTTTTAGATCATTCGTTTGCAACATTTAGCTTAGTGTTATTAGTTGGTTCAGCACTGCTGAAGTATAAGCAGTATATACACAGGAAGAGTTTGATGTGTATACATTATAAATTGATTTTTAAATTTATTTTCGTACGGATAATTATTTACAGTGTATTTGTCCAACTCTAAATGTGGTATTATTTTTTTTTTCATTTGTACAACATATCACAAAAAACATGTTATGTAACCATAATTTTTAAAGTTTCAAACTGAACAACTTCAATTATCAAGATAAATAGTATACAAATTTTACAAAACAATAAAAATACTAAGCATACTTTTCAGACAGAATAATAGTTTCTGGTAAAACTTTAGAACGACACTAGACAAAACTTGAACTTAATTGCAAGTTGTGGTCAGCAAAATCAAACGATAGGTTCCTTCTATATTTAAGTTAATTACAAAATTAATCACTAATTTAATTAGATATACGCAGCACCTAAATTGATTGGAAATTACGCTGTTATAAAATAATATACTACAGCATAATCGTTTATATTTATAATGTTTTTTTTTAATAGGAATCGCTTTCCATAATCTATCATCCACATAAATAATAAAGATTATTTATTTTACTTGTGTAGATGGCTGAGGCTAAAAAAGACCTAAATAAACTCTTGGAACATTTAGTGGACATAAATAAAGAGCTAGAAAGAAAAATAAGGAAACTATATCAACAGGTTTGCTTTTAAATAATCCTAGTACGTAAAATATTAGTTGAAGTAGCTTATCTATTCACTGGGAACACGAGCGTGTATTATAATATTACACAAAATAGTAAATTTGGTCATCAGAGTTAACAATATTTGCTACTCCATGTCTAAACAATATAGCTGCTCACAAATAATACGATTATTAATAATTGTAATACGACTATTAACTAATTTTAAAATAATTTAGCATGGTTTTATTTTTTTAATTAAAAACTAAATTTACAAATTCTGTATTATTGTGCTCTAAACTCTTCTGTTAAGGTCAATTTGAAAACAGAGGAATGTATAAAAAATTATTCTCAAGGAAACATAGAGGAAATAAAAGAAGTGGTTGCTCTGGTGAGGAAAACAAATTCTGCTTTGCTGGACCATAACAAAATTATTTCAGGTAATTTGATATTTAAATGTGGAAATGTAATTCTTGAAAAAATCACTCAATAGAGATAAATACACGAAAAACATTAGTATTGTATTCTAAATATACAGGTATACAATAATATATTCATAGGTCTAACCATTTTACTGTTTCATTTTTTAAATAAAATACAATAATGTTTGGAACAACTCACAGATGTAAAAAAGAAACTTGATGAGCTAAAGAAAAGACAAGCAACACATGAAGCAGGTAAGACACAATAACAACATATTGTTTATTTGATGGCATACATATTAATGACAAACATTTGTATTTTGTTACGCTTGCTTACATTATCTGCACAACACATTAAAACGTAACCATTGATTTATAAAATATACATATACTTTACATTTTAAAAACAAATATAAAAATCATTTATAGCAACCATCGTTTAAATGCAATATATATATATATATATATATATATATATATATATATATATATATATATATATGTATAGATGTATTTCTCATCTCTATCTGAGCAATATTTTTTTTCCAAATAAAAGTTGACTGTGGACGAAGTTTAGCAATGAAATCAAATCTTACAGTCACAACTTGTACGTCAGCTGAAAACGACCATCAAGGAAACGAAAATGAAATATTAGAAATAAATAAAAAGAAAAACACAAGTTTAGAAAAGAGAATTGAGCATGTTGAAACAGAGTTAAAATCAATCAAAGATGCAAAACAAAAGACCGAGGATGACCTTTCAGAAATGAAACAGTGGAAAGAAAACATTTTAGAAAATAGAATTAAATATATTGAGGACATGATTTCTACCCTGCAAAAAGCGACAGAAAAAATGAAAGAACAGTCTGTAACAGAAAAGTGTGACATGGATAAGCAAATACTTCAAGTGACGAAAAAAATAAAAAATAAATTTAAAAACCTCCACCAGAAGATGAATTTACAGAACGATACAATTCACGAGCTACAAAATAAAGAAAGCATTTGCTTACCAGAAATTAACGACTGGAGAGACAAATCCATATCTGAACAGAGTGATATACTGATCAAAATGAAACAGCTATCCGATGAACAAAAAGAAAATTATTTAAATCTAAAACAGCAGTGCACAGAAGATGAAAATAAAATAGGTGAGATGAGTCAGCTAATTGATATATTAATGGAAAATGATGCAAAGTCTCGCAGATGTCTAGAACAAGTTAATAGTGATATAGAAACAGTCAAAAGCAATGTGATTGAAATGGAGAAGAAGTTTATAGTCAACACAGATGAGTCAGATAATATTGCAAGAATTGTAGCCAGCCATTCTGAATTGATTTGTGCTTTACAAAACGATGGAAAAGAACACGTTGCTCTCAGCGAAAAAAAGATTGAACAATTAAAGACAATGGTATGATATATGGAAAAAATAATTAACATTTTCTCTGTATTTTTACAACAAATATATTTTTAAATTATTACATACACAATTTATATATATATATATATATATATATATATATATATATATATATATATATATATATATATGTATATATCTATATATATATATATATATGTGTGTGTGTGTGCGTGTGTGTGTGTTTCTCTTTTATCTGTCTAGAATAAACCTAATCTTTTCCTATCACTTATGTATATAATTGTATAAAGTTCTACACGGTTGTTAATGGATCGGTAAGGGGAATAAAGGAAGATTTTGATACAAAACTGTAAAGACTTCACGTTGGTGAGATATGGGGCGGTCAAAAAAAGAAGTGGAACTGACATGTAATTACGTAAAAAAACAATACATGGATAAATAAAATGCAGTTTAATTACTTGATTGTAGAGATGAAAATTATTCCGTTAAAATGACAAGTTAATGTAAGATAGTAAACGGCTGTATGTTTTATCCAAAAACATTGAAATTTTGGTCCAAAATTATCAAAATAATGCGTTGCCCCACATCACACCACTACCCCGTATATGTAAATATATATATATATATATATATATATATATATATATATATATATATATATATATATATATATCTCTTTACATATGTATATGCAAAGATATATATATATATATATATATATATATATACATAGATATATATATATATATATATATATATATATAGATATATATCCTGAAATGCGTTTTACCTGTATAAATAACTAATAGCCATATGTAAATTGATACAAACTTTTAACCAGAACTTGGAAAGAACATACATTTTTTTTATTCGTCTTTCTACTTTTGGTAAATTGTCTTTTTAACATTTTTTTCTTTATTCAGCTTGCAACGTTAGAAAATGATATGATCACTAGGTCAAACAAAGTGAAAACAATAAGTAAGTGTAGATATTTTATTTTCAATAAATTGTCCAGGGGTTTTATAAAATGTCACATATCTCACTTTACTGTTATCGTGGTTCATTTTATTTTCAAAAAAGGCGAATTAACTAAGTTCGGTGAAAGACATAAGTTAAAATCATCTGTAATATAAATTTATAATTAATATAGGGCATACCGAAATAAAAATAAAATCATTATACGCACTTTCTTGTATCATAAAATATACATTTGATTTCTAATATTCAACGATAGTGCCTTTTATAACGGGCGTCTGTAGCAATTTGTCCATAAGATAATTATTAATTGAAACGGCAGTGAATGTTGTTGTGACATCACATTACCACTGCCCCCATGAAACGCTACCTAGACGTCCACTGAAAATTATGTTAGCTAAACTATTGCCAAATACGTAAGAAAATAAAAATGATCTTGTTGCTACAACACAGCACATAAGCATGGTCATATGCAAAACGAAAAAAAAAATGATATTTTAAACATATGCATTTACATAACTAACTATCTTTACTTGGAAGAAGAAATCGGTTGAAAATATAAAATCACATACGGTTGTGTATTACTATGAAAACTAAAACATTATAAGACGTTTTTAAAATTTTACATAAAAAGTATTTATTTATATATTTTCTTTTTAAATTGGGTAAAATACGAAGAGTGCGAAAAATTTCTTAAATTAAGATATTTACATTTTTTATAGAATGATTTAAGGAGGGTCCCAACAGAATTTTACCGACCAACAAGTTTAATACAAGTGTAATACGTAGCTCTGTCAAAACGGCTCGGGACAAATCGGCTCCGTCAAAACGGCCCCGTTAATATGACCCCGTAAAATCGACCCCCGACAAAACGAACCAGTAAAAAAGCCCCGTCAAAAAGGCCCCGATTTATTGGCTCCCGTCAAATGGGCTCCCATTAATTTGACTCGCGACATATAGGCTCCCGACAAATTGACTCTCGACATATTGGTTCCCGACAAATAGTCTCAGGACATACTTGCTCGTGAGAAAGTGGCTCCCGTCATATTGGCTTCCGACATAAGGGAGACGATATTTGTAGCAGCATATGAGTAGAATTTTAAAACAAATAAAATAAAACAATCCAAAAAATGAATCAAAATGTGCTTCAGCATAAACAAAAAAATTATTTTGTATCCGTAGTCGAGAATGTTAGTTTGTGGCTTACAACTCAGAGAAACATAGCTCCCTCTTAAACATATATTTTAAGGAATAGTGAACTTGTTTTAGTCGAGTTTTTCAGCGGTGTTCAATAGGCTACATATGTTTTTAACATCACAAACATTAACACAATTCTTGAATTAAATCATACTTAAATTTTTAAAATATTGAAAAACATCAACGAATTCTATCATTCTATACATTTTAAATGTATGGGTTTATCGTTAAAAAGTGTGTTCTACCTCATTATTTCGATGAGTGATAATGTGCACTGAATGTTTTCATGCGGAAGTGTAGGTAAACCCGTGTCCCGATATTTATGATCCAAGCGCAGGCATTGTTTACATTTAAATAACTCACTTTTAGAAAACAAGGTCACGCGTCTAAGAATATAGGATTGGTAACGCATGGATGAAACCCGTCTTATATATTTCGTCGGTCTTTCTTCTGTTCCCGCGGCAACGCACCGGGACGGGTACGCTAGAAGATACTAAAGTGAACAACACTTTCTTTATAGTTATTTAAATATTAGTCTATAATTTATTTTCTCCTTTTTTATGCATTATTACATAAAAGCTTGTTTTTAAAACGTTTTTATTATTTATTTTTGTTAAAAATAATTTGATTTCGGTTTACCTTGTTTACATACATACTGAACTGCATACAATGTAATATAATGAGTTTATGTTTATGTTTAGGTTTAGTACCATAAACTAATGATAAGACAAAATATTCACAAATATTATAGACCAAATAGTCAGAGTATTTGTGTAATAATTAATCATGTAAATCATATACATGTTTTCTAATCAACAGAGTCACGTGTATGTAACAGATATGCTTGTTATGTACAGCTTGCTGATCCCACACCTGTCAGTGATGGATCAATTATTTCAACATTTAGTAAAGTACGTGAGTATAACGGTCAACATTTTAATCAAACAACAGGAACATTTGTATCACCACATGATGGTTTATATCTTGTCTGTGTCACTCTACATGAATGGGGAGATAAACAGATTGTAGTTGGTGTTATGGCTGGAGACAGGTTGTGTACGGCTATAGCAGTGAAATGTGCCGCCACTAGCGCTGCAGGGTCAGTGGTTGTTGACATGAAAAAAGGTCAAGAAATTTACCTTGAAGTGTGTTACACAGATCAAGGTGCAAAGTTATCCTGGTTTAGTAGTTTTACTATCGTTAGTTTATAGAAGTACAACAAAAAACATGGTGGAAGGTAAATTCACAAATATATATATATATATATATATATATATATATATATATATATATATATATATATATATATATATATATATATATATAATCACCATGTTAAGCACACGCTAACAGCTTACTACATGTCTATAAAAAATGTAATAGTTTGTATATTGTTGTTTTTTTAGTCATCATTATACAGTTCCAACTAATTCAATGTGATCACCAATTAACATGCTGTACGTGACCACAATAAACACATAAGATACATCTGTTTTTTTTTAAATCTTTTGTTTCACTGTATATGTGTATCATTGTATTTGTTAAAAACAAAACCTAGTTTTTTGTGGGTAAACTATGAAATTGAAATCCGCATTTTCGGACAAACAAAATGAACTATTAAAAAAGTGGAATAAGTTCACTTGGTAACTTAAATATGTGTGAGATATATTTTTAAAAAAATTAACCCATCTTATGAATTTGTAAATATTTTGAAAGATATTGCCAATAACTTTGTTTCAAGGTAAAAAATAAATAAATTACAGTTATTCTCGAAACAAAAACCGCTCTTGTGATTCTAGTGAGTAACAGTGTATGTGAATTAACACCTACGCAAACACGCACACATAAATAAACCATACATAAGTCTGACAATATATATATTATATATATATATATATATATATATATATATATATATATATATATATATATATATATATATATATATATATATATATAGGCCTATTGCATGTTGGACTTGCTACCCTGTTACTAAGTGACATATAGCTAAGCTGTGTTGATCTCAGGGGCGGAACTAATGCCCAGGACGTTTAGGGGCCCAGTTCCAACCCAAAAACAATGAATTTTTTTTTCAAAAATTATGTTTTTCATACATCTTAAAAGTGGTTTTGTAAACAAAAAAACAACAGGTTTACTGTAGCAGAGATTGTTGCGTAGAAAAATATTTTAAAATCTACAAGAGCTATAGTTTGAAAGGTAGGTAAACATTCACACTACTTCCATGACTTACTGCCCTTCTTTAAAATAGGGATGCCCACGAAGCTCATTTGAATAGTTTTGTACTATCTATATTAAAAAGCAATTGAATATCTAAATTGTTACTTAAATAAGACGTACTATACAATAGTATAGCTATAAAAATCAATGTTTTCAAAATTGATATTATAAAACCCCAAAGCCGACCGTAATAATTTTTTTTATAGTTAAAAAAAAACCACTTTCTTGTCAAAAAACAAACAGATCTACTACAGTAGTGATGTTCTTCAGTAGCCAACACACGCTATTTCGTAAAGGAAAAAAATATAAATGCTACATGAGTTCAAACCACTTCCATGACTTATTTCCCTTTTTTAAATTGCCAAATATGTGTGTTCTTTAGAAACTTTTAATAGATTTGCACTAAACAAATTAAAAAGCAATTACTTTTCTTAATTATTATTATTTTTTTAAAATACATAATAAAGAATGGTATAGCATAAACAGGAAATGTATTTAAAACTAATAATATAAATACATAAAAAAACATAAAAATAATCATAAGGCGAGAAACCATTACAAATACAAAGCTTTAACACTTAATATTGTTTTGACCGACTTAAAGTTTAAGAATCATTATGGCAGCCATTAAAACAGAGAATTTCAAAAAAGACTAATTCAGGGGTCGGCAACCTGCGGCTCGCGAGCCGCATGCGGCTCTTTTGATATCAAGATGCGGCTCTCAAGCTCCTTGCACAAATACTAATCATCTTAATCAAAAAATAAAATATTTGAAATAAAGAAATGTTAGTGGCTCTTTAAAACCAGGGAAATTTTGAAAATTGTGACTTGTGGCTCTTCCGCTGCAAAAGGTTGCCGACCCCTGGACTAATAGCACTCACACAAATGAAGTGTTGTTGTAACATGTTTTAATTTAAAAAAAAAAATTCAAATTTCAAACAAGCCCGAATTGAGTATTCTATGTAGGCCTACGTATTTTCATATATATATATATATATATATATATATATATATATATATATATATATATATATATATATATATATATATATATATATATGTATATGTATATATATATATATATATATATATATATATATATATATATATATATATATATATGGGGCCCAAAAATAATTTTTTTGCGGGGTGGCCCATTTTTTCTAGTTCCGCCACTGGTTTATCCTAACACAACCGTTAATTAACTAATATCTTCACTCTCCATTTATTTATCTAAATTATACATACAGCACCGCCAATGTTACACAAGCATAATAAAAGTAAGAAACATTAGGCAAGCAGAAAGTTACTTCGCGTGTAATATAAACATCAGATTAAAGAAATAATAAGCCTTTTAAAAAGTTAAAACAACTTAAAATATAAAGACATACAGTAAATAAGGAGATATATTGTGTGTGGAGAGGGGGGTCTGGGTTTAATTAGGGATTAAAAAAAATGCTTAGTTTATTTAGTTGGGTTAAGGTTTAGTGAAGAATGTAATTTTTACGTAACTTAAACAAGGCTAATCGAGTTTTATTTCTTTTTTAAAATGAGAAATATACCACTATAGCTTACGTGTTTTCGCACATCAAACACAACTCTCAAGACCGTTAAGAAGATGATTCGCGTTAAAATGTACATCTGTTCGCCACAGTTTTTAAAAATAAAACAAGATCTTATTCTATATTCCAATATAGTCGATCCATAAATAGCCGTTGCTACTAGTCTGTTTTCGTCTTCTGTTCTTTGTCTAGTCGTGTTAATTAAATTAAGCGTGATTGCTTTATTTGTTGTGGCTGTTTGATTGGTGGGTTTTAATATGTTCGCAAGAGTTTGGTTTGCTTTCTGTACTAGTATACAATCTTAATACAAAACAAGTCTACAGCTGTATAATTACTATCAGTGAAGTAACATGGGCCTGTCTACTTTTGTGTAGGCTACCCATGGGTCTAGTTGATGTAGAGGGGCAGCGGGTGGGGTCGTCCCCTGCCGACAGGAGGGAAGCACAAAAAGCGGTAAAAGTCAATTTTAATAAGCTGAAGTTTTGAATTATAAACGATAAAAGTTAATTAAACGGATACATGTTTTTATTCAACTGCTTTCTACATTGCTTGGGTAAATGTGAAGTACACTCTTAAGAAACAGAGACCTAAAAAGATCGTTTACCATCATTTTTTCAAGATGGTAGGCAGAATTAGCAATTTTGTAGACTAAAATCGGAAGAATTTACCCTGGACTGGTAGATGACTGTTATAACATTTAGAAAAGAAATAAAGCGTATTGTGTAACGATAAAATAACAAAAAAAGTGGTAGGGATGCGTCGCTTTTTGCCAAGATAAATGGGGATGATTTATATCGGAACGGTGTGTAGATAAATCATTATTATCTTTGAATAAAATATCCAATTGTATTACCGCGTATTATATGATTTCACTAGCCAGTGGGTACTTAGTGCAAAATATGTAGGTGCTCAGAGTCACTAAAGTGGGTGCTCAGTACTGAAGCTGTTGGTACTTAATAACTATATTGTCAGTACTGGATGCCTGTATAATGCCACTGATGTGGGTACTCACCATCACTGGAGTGGGTAATTTTGTCAGTATTTAACGCTACTGTATTTATCACGAGGTGTACGTCTATTGTTTTATTATTGCCAATGTCACTTCACTGTGAAGATCCATCTTTGGTGGTATCTAGGATAGTGGTCCACCACCTCACTTCCTGTTGTTTAATTAGTTTTTTATATTCTTCTCATATTTTACAATGCTATTTCTAAGCTAAAGTCTTTATATTGTGTCCAGCAGCATCATCGCATTATTCCAGCATCGCTCTCTCTCCATTAACCGAGGTCAATGAAACAGGTAAACTCTACTTCACCCGCCGCATAGACCGTAAAATTCGAAAGTGTAATTTTATATGTAAAATAAAAGACTATATTGACATCTTTCACTTATTTATAGCTTGAATCAACAAAGCGTAATCAGACGATAATTTCCCAAATTGCTCTTATGTGAATTATACTGTTAATATGCACAACAGAGTGAATAATAAAGCTATTAGTATTTTTGTAGTAAAAATGGACCACCTATTTAGTAACAATAATCAATATAAATAGGCTGAATTCACGAAGCCATTTTTTTTTCGATAAGCGTGAGTCAAGAGAGTGTGACGTCATAAATTTCGACTTGACAGTGTGACCAGTGGTACCGCGACGACTGTCTAGTTGTACCTAACACACAACGATCGGCAACGTTAGGATAAATGAACCAAAGAGCGTAAGCTAAGAGAAATGGTATGTCGCGTTTTAGCGACAGTCGACGTTAAGGGGTCAAGAGTTACGTATTCTTCAGAGCTGGGTGGAATCAGGAACGTTCTTCAGACTCATGCCCGGGTTGTGAACTCGAGACTTTCTGGTTAGCACTCCAAAGCTGTGTCATCTGACCACGCTATCACATCAATTATCTTAATGTTCTTCAGAAAATTACTTCTTTTAAACAGTGCTGAAATCTATAATTTCAAATTTAATTGTTCTTCTATTTGTAAAATAGCTTTTAGCGTAAAGCCTTAATATCAATTGATATAATGAAATTGTAATAAACACATTTTATATTATAGTTATACATTTCAAGCACGATTTATATGAAGTCATTATTTGAACGTACATTTTTTCCTCATGCAATCAAATTCTATCAATAACCAAAACTGTTGACAATATTACACGACACGTAGCACACACAATCTGTTGAAGATATCCTGATACTGGTCTAGATGGAAACAACACCATCAAAATCTAGACCTAAAACTGATTACACATTTATTATATAAAAGACTGTAACAGGAGACCTGCTTATTTGTGTACATAAGAACACAATGTTATAATCTAACAACACTGAACCCACTCCCAGCTTAAAGCATGGCTTCATGCAATTATCTAAAACACTGAAACAGGACAAATATTTATTTGTTCACCTTAGAACACAAAGTTATAATCTAATAATACTAAACCCACTCTCAGCTTTAAGCATGGCTCCTGCATCTTCTTCTCTTCTTCTTCGTTCTTAATTTTTTAGTGTTGGGAGGGATCGAGCCTTATCTGCTAGAGGGTTGAAATCGAGATATATAAGCATATATACTAAATTTTACAATGCATATATCAGAGTATAAATTACAAATGCCATTAGCTATTGTTTGATACACATTTATTTTATTGGAACATTTTTTAATAGAATCAAAGTGTATGTTTGTTTTCTTGTTGTTGCTTATTAAGAGGTATTAAATTAATAATTATATTGAAATAGCAAATTCATACATTTAAGGACTTGCATATCAACATTTGAAACAACATATGTAATGAGAAAACCAGGATTTTAATATCCTAACTTGTATTAAGTCATTTTAAATACACAATTGCTTATACAGTTTGTCTGTGAAATTTTACAGATCGTTTATGCAACTATTTACTCTACGCTGAAGAAATTGTTTATATAAATGAGTGAATGGCTGATGTACTACCTATAGTAGGGTACAGGCACCTACACATACACGATCAGCTAGCACATAGGCCTACTCGCTTGTATTGATCATACCTTCACACGGTATGAAAAGATAAATGACAGGAAATTAAGCCAAAGAACGGGTCAGTACAAAGTACACATACAACTCAGACATCACTACATGAAAGAGGTAACTTGCGTTATTGACGTGATACATTGTTTATTGAAGCAGAGCAACAGTTTGTTACTACTGGAACTAGAGTGTCTAAAACAAAGGGCTAAACAACTGAACACTTTGTTTTATTCTTCTGTCAAATGTGAGTATACATTGAAAGTGTCTAAGATAAAGGCAAAAACAAATGAAACTTTGTTTTATTCTTCTGTCAAATGTGAGTATACATTTAAAGTGTCTAAGCTAAAGGCAAAAACAAATGAAACTTTGTTTTATTCTTCTGTCAAATGTGAGTATACATTTAAAGTGTCTAAGCTAAAGGCAAAAACAAATGAAACTTTGTTTTATTCTTCTGTCAAATGTGAGTATACATTTAAAGTGTCTAAGCTAAAGGCAAAAACAAATGAAACTTTATTTTATTCTTCTGTCAAATGTGAGTATACATTTAAAGTGTCTAAGATAAAGGCAAAAACAGCTGAAACTTTATTTGATTCTTCTGTCAAAAGTGAGTTTATATTTTAAAATAGTCACGTTAATGTAAAATCTATGCTTTACACAAAAGCATAATTTCCATCAACTTCATTTTTACAAGCCAAACAGGTTAGACAACTGACCAATCACACGACTACAAACTTGAGTTAATTCCATTTAAATGCTCTGAAGTTCATTCGTTTAAGTAATGTTTAAATAAATCGCGGCATTGACTCCATGTGTATAGTGTATAAGAATTATTTGATTATTCGATGTCGAGATAAGATTTGTTATTTTAAAACTTTATTGTATTTCCCAACGTACGTTCTAATATGTGCATTCTATTTCTGTTTAATTCAGATGCGTCCTAGAGTTCAAGTCAAATATGTTACAGAACACACGAACTATTTAAAAGAAATGATACACGTCATGAAACCTGTGGTTGAAGCTTTGCAAGCTGTAAGTTACTGTTACTGTTATTGTCTCTGCCTGCATGCATCATTGACTTGGTGCTTTTATATTCAGCTTATTGTAGATAAAGATGGAGTATAGTATTTAAAAACTGCAAAAATTAAAAAACACACAATGTTCTCAAATAACATACTGACACACACATTTTAACGCTAAGACAAAATGCTTTATGTCGTTAGGCTGTAGAAAAAAGTAAGACTTGGTTGGAAGATAAAAGTGACAACAAATCTTTGACATACTGTGATCTATGTCAAGAACTTGAATCAGCTACCTTGAATATGTTGGATATAGCGGCACATATCTTAGGTAAATATTTTAAAACACCATTGTGTTTTACTTTAATTGATATTCTGGAGTATCAGTTAAATATCAATAATGTAATGCAAATAATAACAGTAAAATCTGGACAATTATGGATTTTTTTATTTATTTAAAATTGATATACTTCAATTCATCAAATGCCATTAATAATATATATAATTCCTGAAGAAAGTATTTTGCATACACAAATTTAAAAAAAAAATCTTTAATTAAAAACTATTCTTTATTAAGTAAAACTACACGTATATTATTATTACACATATTTAAAATAATTTCTGTTCACTAAAAATTACAAGACGAAAATAAAGACAGTGTAGATGATGGAAGGTCATTTCCATCTCAGTCTACCTCACAAACAACAGCAACAGAAAAATGTGGCCGTAGGCAGTCAACATATCCAGTCCTTAACGAACTTTATAAACCATCAGGTATCTATACACACATATTTTTACAAAAAAATTATGATAAGATAAATATGTTCAAGATGAATGATTTAAATATATTTTCTTAAAGAAAATGTAACATATTATAATAATTTTCAAACTTTATTACTGTTGCGATTGACTTAATTTTTTATTGCCTTAGAAATATTGAGTCGACTTGAGCAGATAGAGACAGCCATATCTTCTCTACAAGACGTCAATCGACTTGAGCAGATAGAGACAGCTAAATCTTCTCTACAAGACGTTAGTCGACTTGAGCAGATAGAGACTGCCATATCTTCTCTACAAGACGTTAGTCGACTTGTGCAGATAGAGACAGCCATATCTTCTCTACAAGACGTTAGTCGACTTGAGCAGATAGAGACAGCCGTATCTTCTCTACAAGACGTCAATCGACTTGAGCAGATAGAGACTGCCATATCTTCTCTACAAGACGTTAGTCGACTTGAGCAGATAGAGACTGCCATATCTTCTCTACAAGACGTTAGTCGACTTGTGCAGATAGAGACAGCCATATCTTCTCTACAAGACGTTAGTCGACTTGAGCAGATAGAGACAGCCGTATCTTCTCTACAAGACGTCAATCGACTTGAGCAGATAGAGACAGCCATATCTTCTCTACAAGATGTCAATGACAAGTCTACAAATGACATATCAGAAATAAAACAATGGAGAGACAACTTAGTAACAGAAAAGAGTGACATGGGGGTAAACATTGAACAACTGACTAAAATACAAAAACAGAATTTTAAAAACCTCAGAAAACAAATGACTGAACAAAATAACAAAGTAAAGGAGCTGAACAAAGAAATTGAAAGTTTAAAAGAAAAAGAACCCAAGTCAAACAAAACACTAGAGAAACTGTCTCTAGATATGAAAGATTATGAAAACAACTTACACAAAATAACTAAAGAGATGCAAAATCACACAGATGAAACAGAAAGTAAAATACAAGAAATAAAAAGCTATTCTGATTTAATTGTTTCTTTACAAGAGGATTATAATAAAATTATGGCAAATGTATCAACCAAATTTGAGAAGTTACAATTAAAGGTAAACATTAAGATTGCTAATTAATTGGGTTTACATTGTCTGACTAGCTTATATACTACACATTGTATAAATAAGTTGTACATTAAGTTAAAAGTCAGTTTATTAATTTTTCCAAAAAGTAAGACCATTGATTCTAAAACTATACTTAAAGCAGGTTTTATTGCTGCAATTTTATCTCCAAAAGAAACATTCAAACTTGTTGTAATCCAATAAAATTATCGGCCATTTAGCACAACCTGATGTACCAACTCCTACAGCAAAAATTGATGCCCATTGACAGATTGTTTCAAATATTTAACAAGGACTTAGTAGCTAGAGAAAAAAGATCAAAGAAAGTATGTTTGTAAATTTATAATTAGTATATAGTCTGTAGCATTGCGCATTCATTGTCTATTTATTTTTAGACAATATAATGACAATTGTTAATTAAATGATATCTAATGTTAGTTTTAAAAAAAACAAGTTAGTGCTATAAAAATCAGTTTATCTAATTACACTTTGCTATTGTAAAGTTAGTGGACCTATTGTATAATTTAAGCTGTTATGTGATAATTTTATTCATTTAATTTACACTTTATTTTTATTCAGCTGGAAACTATGGAAAATGTTATGTCAAAATTGACGATGGATTTCAATGTAATCGGTAAGTTTGTTTGGAAAAATAATCTTACATCATGATAAAAGTTAATTGATCAATCTATATTATCTCTATCTAGATGTAAATATAAAACTTTATTGTAGAATATCGATGCAAACTCCATAATTTCCTATTTTAGTTTACTAGCCTCTTTAATATCAAACATAATATCATGTATAAGTTTGAGCGATTTTCGTTAGCCAAACACAGCATAATGTAAAAAACTATTCGAGCATTTCACTCACCCATGGTACCAGCCCCTAGACACGTGGGTTTTCGCCATACATTAGGTTCCTCGCTGATGCATTACAAAACGCAGCAAGAATTGTATATAGCTGAAGTTATTTTATAATGTAAACAAAAACTTTACTCCTTTAGGTTTATGCTACTAAAACACTGAGTTCTAGAACCAAGATTTAAATCTTCAATATAACTTGAAAATATTGTTCTGAATGTCTTCACGTTAAGATAATCATTCAACTGGTACTTGCCGTTTTTGTGTTAATAGACTTGCCATATTTATTTTAACAATCTTCAGATGTATTACGTCATTCAATACTAATCGTGTGCATATATAATGAAAAATCAACTGATATCATATATCTTGAGGACGGTACTAAACTAATAGTTTCAATACGCAGGAAACGATTAACTAACACTAAAAAAATTACGGGGTACTTAACTAATCGTTTCAATCAGTGCTGTTATAGAAAATAGTGTAAAAATAATCCACAAGTCTTTATATGTAGAGAAATGGTTTGTCATATTTTTTTTTTCTGTACTTACATGTCGTAAGTCATGCACTGTCACTTGCACATGTTACATATTCATAGCATGCAATGGTGGAAATTAAATATGTGTATATGTTTCCCAATCAACAGAGTCGCGGGTATGTAACAGATATGCTTGCATTGCACAGCTTGCTAATCCCACACCTCTCAGTGATAGATCAATTATTTCAACATTTAGTGAAGTACGTGAATTTAACGGTCAACATTTTAACCAAACAACAGGGAAATTTGTATCACCAAATGATGGTTTATATCTTGTCTGTGTAACTCTACATGAATGTGAACATAAACTGATTGGCGTTACTGTGATGACTGGCGGCAGGTTGTGTGCAGTTATAGATGTTAAATCTAATAGAACTAGCGCTGCTGGGTCAGTGATTGTCGACATGAAAAAAGGGGAAGAACTTTTCTTTAAAGTGTATGCAGCAGATCATGGCGCAATGTTATCCAGCTTCAGTAGTTTTACTATTGTTAGTTTATAGATGCACATCATTAAACATGGTGGTTGGGAAATTATTTTAAAAAAAACGTATGTCTAAAAACTAAATTTGTAAACCCACGTTATAAACTTCTAAGTTCAGGTCAACTAATGGTCTATGTTTACCATACACATTTCTAACCAGTCCAATCAACATCTATGTGTTTTATTAGACTACTCTCTTCTTACCTATTTAACTTTGAACACAATATGATAACTCTGGCTTAATGCGGATAACTTAAATTACGTTTTATCTTTGTATCAACATGGATCTTTCACCTAAAACAGAAACCAAACATGAAATATAATGTACAGTGATTTATTAAAAGTATCATTCACTCTGCTCATATACTTACTACATTTTGTTTTGTTGTTACTTTTTTCCTTAATTTTTATCTTATTATCAAAATTCAATATAAATATGCTTTCAATGGTTCAAAATATAAAGAAACAAGAGAATATGAGAAAAATAAGGGAGGGATAACGAATAATGTAGTACAGTTCGGGAAGGAAGAAATGATACAAGTTATACGACTGTAATTAGAATGTATTAAAAAAATATTTTCAAAACCTTGAATAAAAAGAACATAGTAAGACTTTGATTCTGCCAAGTATACCGAGATGCATATTAGATTTAAAAAAGATAAAATAAAAGGAGATAATTTTAGCTTCATGCTCGTCCGCCTTATTTTTTAGCTGTTTTCCCTAACATGGGTTAAAGCAATGATAGTTAGACAACACAACGTATAGTGTGGCTTTTATTTTTGAACAAAATTTTCAGCTTGGAGGTGAAGAACGAAATTTCCGAAAATAAAAAAAGTGGTGGGTGGATAAAAAATTGTAATGGATGAAATGTCGTTTATAGTAAAATGCGACACCATTTGCAAATGTATTTACAGGGGGGGCGGGGGGGGGGGGATCGATCTGCTGCTTATCGTGTTGTGCTGAGTGAGGTGTCTGAAAATGCAAATGTGTAATTAAATGATGGTTCAAGGGATTTTTTTTCCATCGGCGTGGTGGGCTAATGGGCCGGGGGAGGGGGGTGAATTTGGGTTTTTAAGTAGAGCTGAAATAAATTTGGGATTACAAAGAAATAAAATAATATACATTTTAAGCAACCGGAAAAGTTATGTTATTACAATGAGACACATCAAATCAAACATTCTTCCCATTCAAACAGCTATATCTATAGCAGTCCTCAAACATTGTTTTTCAATTCAATCATTTTAAACATTTAAAATAGTAATAAGAATTTATTCGATGGTTTTACACAGCATCAAAGGCATGAACAGCAATTGCATATAAAGTAATTAAATGGAGAAAATAAAATAGCCTAAGAACTAGACTAAAATAAGGTGTGTAAATTCGGTTTCTCTTAACTGCTTAGTTTACTGTGATCCATCAAATGACGGAGCTACCTATAAGGCGAACTAGGCGGTCGACTAGGGCGCTGTCCGTAGGGGGCGCCAAAATGGGTTCGAAAAACAAATTGAAAGTTTGAGGGGAGGGGTTGCAAATCGAAAGGTTGTCCTCGGGCGCCGGGAAGGGTCACTAAGCTTCTAATAATACGGGGGGCACAAAAAAGGTTGCGGGGGGGGGGGGGGGGGCGCTTTTAATAAGGTTTTCATAGGGCGCTAAATAACCTGGCGCCGGCACAGGCTCCATTCTTAGCTGCGAAGTGAAAGGTTTAAAATGTAGCCACCCATGGACGACCGTGGAAGAAGGGGCTCTGTAATACTCATTCTGATTTATCATTCCAAATCTTTCCATGACACAAAATTGACCCCTGACGACGAGGGCTACCTTGATATATCCGCCAGTCCGGTTGAGTGGGGGGGGGGGAACTATGTGTGTG